AGGCCATTGAAAGGAACGCGATTTCAGACAAGAGAGGACATTATGGCTGCAACGACAGCCGAGCTAAACTCCATTTCGAAAGAGGCTTTCTCGGAATGATTCCAACAATGGCGGCACCTCTGGGAGAAGTGTGTGGAGTCCCAAGGAGACTACTTTGAGGGTGATTAGGTTTCCAACGCTCCAGGTATGCCAGTTTTTATTCCCCGGCCAAAGGCCGGATACTTTTCTCACAGGCCTCGTACATTGATGATAATTGCTAGAGTTAGTGATATGGTAGAGAAAATAAAATATAAACATTTACCTTAAAAAAACTTTTGATATTCTTTTAGAAGGATCTAGAGATTATGCAAATGAAATATGAAAACTATAACATGAAGAAAAGTATTTCTATACTTACGAGGAAATCACTTTGCACTCGATTTGTTAGAGTTTGAGTGCAAGTAACTACAATAGATAAATAACATATTTTAGTAAAAACACTAAATTCAAATAATGACATTCTTTGTGTAAAAGACTTATGATCTTTAACAAATTTTTACCAGTTTTGGAGAGGATACTTTAAGAAATATCAGAGTTACCACATGTATTGTTGTACCAGTGAAATTTGTGACTGGATTTCCACAAACTGTACGAGCCCACCATTGAAGGGTTAAGCCAGTTGTTCAATCATGTTGAAGTCTGAAAATGTGTAATGTTGTTTTTGTTGTCCATAATATTCGAAATACATTTTAGCTGTATGCCTCTGATAAACCTAGAACTTTTGATTTTGCAGCAATTTTTTTTTTGCTGATCAACCTTATACCACATAAACTATTTGTTATATGATTTTATCTGTTGGTACTATATATCACTTTGGTTAGTATATTACATTGAGAACTTCTTGGCATGAGAAATGCATTTAACAGGTTACTATTTTGTTTAATAAATTAATAATTTGAGACACACAAAAAGGTATAAAGACAAGTCGTGTACTTTTGACAGAAATCAAGTCAAAAAGGAATAAATTCAAAAAGTTCTGCTACAGCCACAGTAGAACTATGGAATGCTCAAGGAAGTAGTGCAAAAAATAATCATTTAAATAAGAAAATTGAACTTGTTGATCCAATGAATATTGTATAAGTTATGCCAGAATACTTTTTCTATGAAATAATGTTTTTCCATGAAGTAAAAGTTTATATAATTCTTAAAAGTGTGTATTTGTCCAATAAAAACTTGCATGCACAATTCCAACAATGATGCAAGGTCTAGATTATCTGAAGAAGAAACCATACAACTTTTTACTCAAATGTTGTAATATCTTAAAACACACTGGAAAAGAACTTTACAATTCTACATTTTTTTGTTTAACCAGTATTACATTTTTTAAGCCCAACAAATTAAAAAAAAATATTTAAATACACCATTATTCTAGTTTTTGAACAGTCTTTTCAAAACTTCTATTTATGAACTCTACAGGCTCATAAGCACATACCTATTTATGTATTTTTACTCATAAGGGAAGACTGTATTGCTCTTTTTCACTCAATTTACTGTAACAGCATGTTGAATCTTAAAACATGTATTTTCTCCCTCACAATAACATTAAAATTATAGTGCAGCATCTAACAAGTTGAAGTAATTGGAGTTAAATTATACTATAATGGTTGACTAAGTACTTTACAAAAATGAATCAATTTTAGTTCTTATGGCCACATTTTTTGACATCGGCTTCTTCTCCTATATATTCCTACTTTTTTAAAACTGAAATCATTAAAGTTCAATTCCAACACTACATTACATCACTTCTTAAATATAAAACACAGAATACAGATCACAGAAATTTAAATGAAGCATTCATTAAAATATTTATAAATATATTTTTGGCTAAAGAAAAAAATGCTTGAAATGATATAAATACAGCTTCATCTTCTACTAATATTTGTCAATGAAACACTCATCCACACTGAGTCAACATGATGCTCAATGTTTTATGATACATAATTACAGTGATTATTTAAGGGAGCAAAAGCTTTGCATTTGATAAAGAAGCTTGACAAGTATAAAAACAATACAGTAAGTTTTACAAACTTGGACGGTCAGTGACAAGCTTAAAGTTTAGCTCCTTTTTCTTATGCAAAGCTCTTCCTTGACACATACTGTTTGCTAATATTCATTCATACTGATTACTGACCAGTAACAACAGACAGTAATGCCATATTTAAAAATTATGTTGCTCAATAAAAACATCTTGTTCCAGTAAAATGGCATATAACTGATAATGCTTCTGCTTTACAATCTTTCTTCATATTAGCAAACTATCAGAGAAAGAAATTAACATACAATATTGGTCCTTCTTTGTTTTTATATATAGTTAAATGTCTTCAATAAAAGAAAAATCTAAAGTGACACTAAGTTTTAGTTATTCACTAGTGCTTAACACTACGAGTAATATTTTAAATTCTGTTGATTCAAGAAGTAACAATTTAATAAAATATCACAAATAATCCAACCTAACAGTTTACTTTAGAAGACCAAGACAAAGTTAAGATTATGAAATGGAACATAACTACTTTCACTAATGACCTGTATTCATTCTTATGCACATAATTAACTGGTTTTATAATTAAAGATTGGCCATATGTAACACTATATTATATTTTGACTAGACTTACCACTACTAAAAGTGTTAAAGATGGTTATCAAGATTCAACGCAAATCAACCCCCAAGGATGAAAAAGTTGTGTTATGATCATATATTAATGAATGTTGACTTCAATCTTAAGTTTTGACAATGTATAAGCCTGATAAGACTGTTCTAAATTCAATACTTTAAATTTAAGGATCCAGGTAAATATATAGAAACATAAATACAATGCCAAAGTTTAAATACAAAAAACACTTCAATGTTTTTGGCACTTTACAAGTAACCATCTTTCACAATACTTTCAACATTTTGACAGAAATGATCAAACTGAAATGTTTTGTAGCAAACAATATTTATTTTAAAAAGTGATATAAAGCACACTGCAAGACCCTTCACTAAATCCAGAGTTCAACACAAGCATTTTATTCTAAATTAACAATGATGATGTTTTTTTTTTTATAATCACAATTCTACAAATATCTTGCTGTACATGTCTGGTCTGCCACTCTCATGAACGATGACAATCAAGTTGTCACCTGACATAATACAAATTTCACTGTGCAATTTCACTAATTAATCAACAACAATTTAGAGTGAAGCATTATTTAGCTGTGCATTGTAAAACATAAATTTATACAAGAGATGAGTTCACAAAGTAAAATGACTTTTCCACAACCACACTTAACACAGTAAGTTGTTTTTGACAATGACTGGTATGTTAAGATTTCTCCATAAATGCCAAAAATAAAGCTGGTAAGTAGAATGAAATTAGTAAGATTTTCTATAACTCAGTCTCTGAAGTATAATAATAATTGAATTTGACTTTATATCATTCATCAAGGAACCTATCATGCACTTCTCTAATGGCTTCTTTCACTTGTAACTTTATAAAATTTTTGAGTCACATGTATATCTTCACCTCTTTTGTTGACGTCTTCGAGCCAATCTTCTGTCATTTCTAGAGTTGGCTCCAACAGAGAACAGAGCTCCACCTTGTGGTGTTCCAGGTCTTGAGCCATGGTTTCCAAAAGTGGCAACAGTTGGAATGTCTGTAGGATAGGAATATCACATAATGAAACTTTACTTATTGCTACACTTAAACAAATAAAATTTGAACAACAAAATCTTACAAAATAAATAAAATATTGAGCACAGTTAATATTACTTTGATATGGTACTTTATCAAAAAAATCAACTCCTCACTTTAGGCTTCTTAATAATTAACTCTTAATGGAATATTAATATATTGAAGCTTTAATTTTTCAGTTTTAGGCCACAGTTAAATACATTGTTATTTAATCACTACATCATTTAACTATCAGAATGACTTTTACAAAAAATACAATCCCAACAACTATTATCACATAATATTTATTCACTACAAGAAATAACAGCTTTTATCTTTCAACACTATATGCTAATTCATATTTGTTTGATAAAATTTGTAATTAAATGAACTTACCCCTAAATTTCTGGTTTGGTTTAGCAGAGAAGTTGAAAGTTGCTCCTTGTGAGACAGAAGAAAAATTAAACATTTCTGTGGACTTTAATGTATTCTTACTTCCTGGTTCATACTGAAGAGAACTAGGTATTACTTGCTGAAAGTTTGACTGACTGAATGGAGTTGACTGATGAGAACTATGGCCAAATACTTCTTCAAAACAATGTATGTTAGCTCCAAAGTATGTTTGTTGTGTGTTGTTACTTGATCCACATGAGTTTGGATTAGCTACTCCTAAAGCTAGATTCTGTCCAGGTGAGCCAGCAGAAGATTGGGAATCAATTCCAAATAATGCGCTTGAATTTTGAAATGAGGAACCTGTTTCACTATTGAATCCTCCAGTTGAAAACGAAGTTGTACCAAAGATACCTTGGACTTGGATCTGGTTGGTTTGATCAAACATTTTCTGTAATGTAGGAGTACAAGTTTTTTCATTTGTTGGGTTGTGAGAAGTATTTGGGCTTAAAAACATACTTGAATTTGTCTTTCCCAACTGACTGGAAGATTGGTTATTTGCAGAAGTGGCTGTTGATGTTCCTAATGCATACTTAGACCTTCCTACTAAAGCAGCTTCTGAAGTAGGTTGCAATGAGGGAGCGTTTGAGCCATTTCCAAACTTGAGCTGAAACCCTCCAGCTTGTGTTGTATTTGTTGAGGAAATGTTAGAAGGTATGGCAGAACCAAATATAAAACTTCCAACAGAAATAGTAGTTGCTGGTAAAGATGAGGCACATTGAAACTCTTCAGCACAACTTTTAGTTGTTGTGGTAACACTAAGTGGTACATAAGAACCAAACTGAAACCCTCCAGTAGAGTTTGTAGTTGTTGAGGTGACACTAGGAGATATAGAAGAACCAAACTGAAACCCTCCAGTAGAGTTTGTAGTTGTTGAGGTGACACTAGGAGATATAGAAGAACCAAACTGAAACTTTCCAGCAGAGGTTGTAGCTGTTGGGGTAACACTGTATGGTATAGAAGAAAACTGAAATTCTCCAGTAGATCTTCTTGTTGCTGAGATAACACTAGATGGTACAGAAGAGCTACAATGAAACCCTCCAACAAATGTTGTAGTTGTTGAGGTACCAATAGATGATACAGAAGAACCAAACTGAAACCCTCCAGTGGAGCTTGTGCTTATTGAGGTAATATTAGATGGCATAGAAGAACCAAACTGAAACCCTCCAGTGGGACTTGTACTTGCTGGGGTAACACTAGATGGTACAGAAGAACCAAACTGAAACCCTCCGGTGGGGCTTGTACTTGCTGGGGTAATATTAGATGGCACAGAAGAACCAAACTGAAACCCTCCAGTGGGACTTGTACTTACTGGGGTAACACTAGATGGTACAGAAAAACCAAACTGAAACCCTCCAGCGGGGTTTGTACTTGCTGGGGTAACACATGATGGTATAGAAGAACCAAACTGAAACCCTCCAGTGGGGTTTGTACTTGCTGGGGTAACACATGATGGTACAGAAGAACCAAACTGAAACCCCCCAGTGGAGTTTGTACTTGCTGGGGTAACACAAGATGGTACAGAAGAACCAAACTGAAACCCCCCAGAGGAGTTTGTACTTGCTGAGATAACATTAGTTGGTACAGAAGAACCAAGGTGAAATCCTCCAGAGGAGTTTGTACTTGCTGAGATAATATTAGTTGGTACAGAAGAACCAAGGTGAAATCCTCCAGTAGAGCTTGTAGTTGTTGGGGTTACACTACATAGTTCAGAAGAATCAAATTGCACATCTCCATCAGTATTTGTTATTTGTTTCAAAGAACCAAACTGATAGCTTTCAGCAGAATTTGTAACTATTCCTGTATTCATACAAAATTGGGCAGAAGAACCAAACTGAAATTCTCCTGCAAAGTCAGGAATTGTGGGTCTTGTAGTTGTGAAACTTGAAGTAACATTATTTAGTATAGACGATGACAGAACTGATGTAGTAGGATATACATTACTGTTATGCAGTTGAATAGCTCCTTTCTCAGAACTAGTAAATGCAGTTACACATATAAGTGAAGTATTCTGTGCCACTACTGAACTGGAACTAGGGGTGGAAGAACTTGTACCCACAACTGAATTAGAGTTTATCGAGTCATGAACACTAGTCACTACATCACATAGTTTCCTGTCAGCATTATGAAGAAACAAGGTCTTACTTGTTAGCATTTTAGCTTTAGTGTCTTCTGCATTACTTGACTTCTCAGTCTCCACTGAAGGAACATTTTCACTATCATTTATGGCTAACGTAACATCAATGGGCATATGAGTTTTGGACTGCATGGAGAGTCTACTTGAAGTGAATGAATCCAGTGATAAAGAAAAAGGCAATGAAGATGTGTTGAGAGATACTTGTACTGAACTATCCAAGGACTTCACCTTTGGGTCTTGTGTAGCTGTAATTAAAACTTTGTCTTCAAACAAATGTTTAAAAGGTATGAAAATAACTCTCACAAAAATATCTATAAAACCTTGAATTTAGTATAATTAACTACATACACATAATAACTTCAATTTTTTTTTGTATAGATTTCCAGCTTTGTAAAAGTTATTATATTTAGCTTTTAAATATGTGCTTAAACTGCTGTTTATTGCAACACAGTCAGACCAGATACTGTGAAAAATATCAATCTGTGCAATGAACATTACATAAACAATCTATAAAAATAACTAAATTAAAATTATATATATTAATCCCATCTGCCCGGGTATCATTTGCTGCAAGTCACGAGATTTTAGTGACTTACATTCAATATTTTATTAATTTACTTTTTATTTATGTTATACCAATTAATATAACATACAATCTTACTAATAATCCATATTTTAATAGCATATAAGTTTTAAGTTCTTAATTTTATAAGGCAATATTTTAAAAAATCCTGAATTTCCCCCAGTGTGAGAAAGGTGACACATTTTCTGTAGGCATCCCCTCTTCTCTATTTTATTCACCACCCCTCCAATAAGTATGAAATTTAACATAAATTACTCACTATAAAATCGTCATTGCTCAGACAAACCATAATTTTTATAGCTTTCAATTTTGTATGGTGACAAAGCCTTCAAATAGAAAATCAGACCCCTCTTACCACACTCACCTGTCACATCCTCTCTTTCAGGATTTGTTAATAGTTCTCTGTTATGTTCAATATGATACTATTTATTACCAGTAGCAAGCCAAGGTTTTCATCTATCAAATGACATATTATATTACATTGTGTTCTGAACAGAGAATTGTCAATTTCTCTTTCAGTATAAGCTTCGTTCCCACTGGAAAGTTAATGACTAGCTTGGATGAATTTGTAATGGCTCTTGTCGCATAGTTAAAAAAGCCAGAAAAATTGTGATAGTTATATGAAATTGTCTGCTTTTTGGATGTTATTATTCTATGTTCTTTGGTGCATTATTTAATTAAATAAAAAAGTTATAATTTTCCTATACTGGCCTTCCACTCCCCCTATTGGAATTGCTATATTCCAACATATCTCTCATGCAAATCATCATGCGTCCCTTCCTAACCAATAGGAGCATGATAAGCTCACGTGATACATGTGACTCCTTCTACACTCCTCTACCAAACTATCACTTTGAAGTTTGGCAGAAGATGTGAGCACAAGAGAAAAGTGGGGAGGAAGGGTGGGAAGTGTGAATGGAGGTAAGTACCTATCGAAAATAAATTTTCAGTATAGGAAAATTATAACTTCCAATACGGTAATTACCTTCTCTCACAAGATTGGCTAGAATCTCACATTGAGGAGGAGGAGGGACTGATGAGAGGGAATGACAGAAGTACCACCCAAAAGCATCTGAAGAAACCCTGAAAATGAGAGATACAGATCTGAAGAGGGGAACCACACCACTTCTGAGCCAGGTATACTCTTTGTCCATGTGTGGAATGTGTAAGATATAAAGGTGGAAAATGAGAGGAGTACATCTGAGTGGAAGAGAATGTGGTAGGAAAGTGATTCTAATCAGAGAGAGATATTGTAACTCAATCCCACAAATGGGTAAACAAGGATGCACCCCTGGGTGTAGAGTGGCTTGGATGTGGTGAACCATACTCAGTAAGTCAACTACATCCAAAACCTCCTTGCAGGGTACCACCATCTGAATGAGGGTAGGATGAGGATCATACCGTCTTCACCTCAAACCCAAGAACCATGGATTAAGACCCACGCAGATTCCTGGGTATGGCACGAGAATAGCTCTGAGCTATCAAACTGGGAAATTAACACCTAGTATCAAGAGGATGTCTATCGCATGCAATCAACTCCCCCAACCGCAGTACATGCTGGGACCATCCAATGGCAATAACATTCCATAAGAAGAGAATGAGGGATAGTCAAGGACAGAACCGTAACATTCCCATGTAACACCGTTTTGACCTACAACACATATGGAAAAAATAGAGGGAGAAAGATCTCGTGGAACACCCTATTTCTACAGTGAGCGTGTAAAACCATGGAAGTTAAAGCGCGAGTCAACATGGCTGTATAGTGCAGATTTACAGTTAAAGAATAACTGGTCAGGCACCACTCACCACAGAGCAGGATCCACATGATAAAAAAGTAGATAAAGGCCCCTGAAAGAAAGTATGAAGAAACACTTACCAGTAAGAGTCACACTGAAACCTGAAGAATGACCCCAGATGGTAGACGAAACCCTGATGAGGAGGAAACCGCAATATGATGGCGATAGTGGAAAATGAAAGTACTGGGAGTGGGCCACATACCGGATCACAAAATCTCCTACACTGGATGATGAAGATAAGAAGCAAGGGAAAAAGTGAGATGTTAGATCTGATGGGAGTACACCTGGAACAAAGTCTGGGAGGAAGAAGATAGGGAAAAATAGACTAATCGAACCTAAAGGGGGTACCAATTGGTATGGGTAGAAGGGATGATGAAGATAAGAAGCAAGGGAAAAAGTGAGATGTTAGATCTGATGGGAGTACACCTGGAACAAAGTCTGGGAGGAAGAAGATAGGGAAAAATAGACTAATCGAACCTAAAGGGGGTACCAATTGGTATGGGTAGAAGAGGAAAGATCACAAAGGGAGGAGGAGTGCCACAGGATAAAGAGTCGGGAACATGTACCCTGGAAGTTAGCAGTACAGTCTATATAACAACAAAGAACCTTGACTGGACACAGAAGCCTATCCAGATCCAGTCGTAAGTTAAGATGGGAAATAATAGAAAAGGAGAGACCACCCTCCTGAGCTGCCGAGGTCCTCGGGAAAAAGGAATGATCCAGATGAAGGAGAAGATAGGTAGGGCAATAAAGGGTACATGAATTGTCAATGGCAAACAAATCTGACCTTTGATGTCCACAGGCTAAGAGAACAATGAAATATGTTTTAAGGGAAAGATGATACATAGAATATAAGGAAAGTGGTTCATATGGAGGTAAAGTAAGGGAATGTAGAATCACATTAATGTCCCAATCCAGACACCTGGGAGGGCAATGGATCTGGAAGAAGCGCATAAGTATGGTAAGAACAGGGGAAGTAAAAACTCTTAGTATCAGGAAGAACGAAAGTTATTGGATAAGGTCGCCCGATATCCAAAAAGTGTCAGGTGAGAAATTCCACCACATAAGCCATGGCAGGCTTGTCAGTGGGAACCCCCCTGGTAGTAGATCAACTGCGGAATATCTTCCACTCGCGTTGGTACACAACCATGGAAGATGGACAGGTGGAACTAACTAACAAGGAAGTGACTCGATGTGTGAAACAAGGCTGTCTTACTAAAGACTGGACATAAGCCAGGCATGATGACGCAGGTTATAAAGGTTGGGATGTAGGATATGTGATCAAGATTGAGGAAGAAGGGAGGGCAAAAGTGGAAGTGGGATGGGGGAGAGGAGCAGTCGTTGTAATATTGGAAACCAAGGCTGAGCTGACCAACAGGGAGCAATCAGTAGGACTTGACAAGAAGAATCACCTGATGAAGTAATCGGATGGTTGGGTACACATAAAGATACTTGTGTGACCAATCCAGGCTGAAGCAATCAACTGCCAGAGTCTGTAGATGACATACAGGCAACCAAAAGATAGGGTGATAACTTGGTGTTAAGGCCTGTAACAAAGGCATCCATGTGGGGAGAACCCCAGCAATGGCAAAGATCCCCGAAAACATGGGGATCTAATGCCCACTCTGTGGGATATATCTAGTCAGGGTGTGAAAGCATCTGGCACATGACATGCAATAAGGCGAATGTGATGTGCATAGGCCCAGTATAATAGATCCAACGTCCAAACCAAAAACACAGATCTCTGGACCGGGCACCTCCTTAGTGGTTGATATGTGCCACCACCTTGGAATTATCTGAATGAACCATCACCAGACAATGATGGGCAAAAAGAAGGAAGTAATGCAACACCTGATGTATGACTAGAAGTTCAAGAACATTGATATGCAAAGCACTTTCATCTGCAGATCAATGGCCAAAAGCTCTCTGGTGATTGACCCATGTCCCCAACTCTGAAGGAATACATTCGTGACAATATGTAGAGCCGGACATGGGGGAGGAAGAGCACACCTTCCCATATATGGGTTTTGTCCAGCCACCAATGCAGATCATCTTGCAAGGAAGGAGGAAGGGAAATGGGGGTGGAAAGAGGATCCCAAGCAAGGTTCCATCAATCGTGAAGCACTCACTGAAGGGATCTCATATGGAAAGGCCCACTGAAGGAATCTAATATAGGCATGACCGAGAGGGATTAGTGCTGTCATGGAAGACCACAACCCCAAAAGCAATAGAACTTTGCGAGCAGTAAGTGACTGAGCCAAGAGGGTGTGGTGAACCAAAAGTTCCATTGAACGAACTTGTAAAGGAAAAAGCAGTGCTCAACTAGTGTTCATGTCAAAAAAGATCCCCAAATGGACAAGATGTTGAGTGGATCTGAAGAAGGACTTCTCCAATTTGATCAACCAGCCATCTGAGCCACCACAGAAAGCAGCTGCCGAGTATGATTGGCCGATTCCTGTTCAGAATAAGCCAGTCGTCCATATAATAATGAAATCACAGCCCCAGAGCATGGAAATGATGTGCAAAAGCTATTCGACAAAATATATAAGGCACCGAGGCAAGTCCAAAGGGGAGGACCCAAAATTAGTATACCAACCCGAGATGGACAAACCGAAAATAAGGACAAGACTGAAGTGATATCGGTATATGTAGGTAAGTGTTGCAGACATACATTTTTTTATCCACAACCCTGGGGAGAACGCCCATCTCAGGGTGAGAAAAGACTCCACTTGGGTAGTGATATGAAACTATCAAGGCAAGATAAATCAGTTACCGACTGCTAATCCCTGGTTTTCTAGGGGACAATGAAAAGGCAGGAATAAAAACCTCTGGAAGGGTAGGGAACACGTTCAATTGCCTGCTGCAAGAGCAATTCCTGCACTGCTTCTGACAGACGCTGGCTTGTCAAGGGATCTTGAGGAGGAGAGAAAGAAACAGGGAAAAGAGAAACCGGAGGTGGGGAAAGAAACTGGACAATGAATCCTTCTGATTGTTGATGAAGGGATGCCAGCAATAAAAAAAACAGCCAAGCCTCCTCTGGACCCGAACCCACTGGCTAGCACTGGTACTGTGGATGACGGGGGGCGGCAGGGGGGGGGGGAGTAGAAGGAACGGGGAAGGGCTAGGAAGGGGAAGGACGGGAATTGTAGGCATATGAGGCTCTGACTGAGACAAACGGTCTACTATATACATAAGGGTGGATTGTTGGTGGACTGATGTCACCTGAGGCTTTATAGTTTTCGAGACTGTATCAAAGATGTAATGTCTCAGAAATGGTGCCACACATAAATCCCCGAGATATGTTGAGGATAAACGGACCTGATCCAAAACAGCACCATGCCTTATAAGGTCCCAAGAACAAAGAAACCACATATGTACCACCAGTTCCAAAGACGATATGCGGGCTAAAGTGGAGGAGAAAAGGGCAAGGGTATCTGCAGAAAACCCAAGAAAGATACCATAAGAGGTAGGTAAGGAACGGCAAACTCTGGAGGCAGAAGAAGACGACCAAAGTCCTTGTCAGCCTACACAGGCTCAGGAGGAGCCTGGGCCATGTCTGGGGACAAAGGTTGGCCCATGTAACATTCGATCTCTCGACATATAAAAGCAAATAAATCCACAGTCATGTTACCCACACCTGAGGTTTGAGAAAAAATGCTGGTCACTGGTGTAACCCTTGAAGTACTAACATTAACTTCAGAATTCATTGTATAGAAAAGATTCACCAAATTCGATTGCAGAAATAAAGCGACTAGAATTAACTGATAAATACTAATATAGGAATTGGGTTGGATGAAAGCAAATTAAGTCGAAAAATAACCTCTACACAAGGGAAGCATTAAGCACACAAAATAGCATGTCCAAATTCAAATGCTGCCAAACAAGATGTGATAGTTCAGTAGAGGAGTGTAGAGGGAGTTACATGCGTCATGTTAGCATACGATGCTCCTCTTGGTTAGGAGGTGACGAATGATGATTTGCACAAGACACATGTTGGAATATAGCAATTCCAATAGGAGGAGGGAAGCGAAAGGCTTGTGGTATGTGTAAAGAAAAAGTTTGCATATAGAGGACAGCACTGAACGAGAATGGCTAATCTTGTGAGAGGAGGTAAGTACCATATAAGAACTATTTAGTACATTACTACCATTAGTATAAAAAAGTAGGGTTAAGTGTCACCAACAGTCAACAGCAAAAAAGAAGGTGACTTTATTTCTTGTTTTTCATATTTATTATTATAAAAATAACTAAAATGTAAGAATATGGATCTCTTTAGGTTAGATTAGGTAAAATAAATAATAATAATAATATAATAAAAATGTTTCATGAGGCATGCACATGATCAGCTCGTGGATAACATAATTTGATGGCGTAACGTGAGCTCCACGTTTCCCAAGTGATTTACAACTTATAATGACGTGAATAGTAGTCAGACACGGTTCAAAGGGCAATAAAACAATAAAATTTAATTATAAATAGATGTATATTG